AGTCACGTGTCGTGATATCGGACCGTGAATAATCCGTAATCGTGGCACCCAATTGAAATCGACTTCAGCACGTCTCCCTCTACCACGTTAAAAGGGGTAAATGACTACGATGCATCCGGAGTAACCATTACCCATCTCCTTTCCTCCGACAATGGACCTCGCGATTCGTTCCACCGCGAGATCATGTATCAATTTTTGTCCCTCTCCCTTACTGCAACTCGAATGAGCACATAGTTCCCCGCTCAGCGTCCGATATTCCGTATTATAAGTGAAATTCCTAGAACAATAGTGGCTTTGCGACTTAATGATTGACTTTGAGTGGCTGGCTCTACACTTCTCGAGATAAGCTGTGGCATCGAGTCCAGGCTGGACAGCTTCCTAGCTCACTAAATTGCTAACAACTCAAACAAAAGATGGTCTTAGTAGAGCCTCGGAAGATCAGCTCACACAATGACTAGTATGGCGAACCTGACATCGACGTTTGGAATCGGGGAAAAAAAAAGTCCCTTGATCACCTCGACACTGTACTATGTAAAACCGATACTTTGCTGCAGGGGAAATTCGAGGGACCGAATGTCGATGTACAAATTGTAGCTCTGACTAGGTAGTGTTTATGGATGGAACGTTTTCCTTATATATATATTGTGCTGGTCGGGTCTCTGCAATCTCGCGTTCTGGAAGATGGACCACACGAAACAGCTTGGTCTTCTTGCTTTAGGAAAGTCGTTAAATGAAGTAGAGTGGCTACGAAACAGAAAGATGAATACTGATCATCGTGTCGCTTAGCATGGGTGACTTGCAAAGAAAACCTCTGCAAATTGAGAGGTTCCCATTCACCGCCCGGCTATTCAAGGCCCCCCCAGTTTTGTCCAAGACTGGCTACCCTAGACGCCGCCTTCGTTAAGTTTCTGCCGAACCCACTTTTTGTGGTTGGCACGCTGCCCTCTAACCGCCGAATCATCACTCTGCCAAGATTGTCTATCATTCACCAAGGTTTCTCCGGCCAGCCGAGTGGCCTTCTCAGGAACAACATGTGCAACGGGCATGGCAGTCAGTGTCGAACCGGACTCAAACACTCTGCCAGTATTGGAGCGTTCTCTTGGCGCTACAATCGTTTCGGATGTGTCATGGACGAAAGGGTCACCGTCTGCCCACCACTCACGGGAGGGTTCCAGCTCCAGGTCAATCAATCGACAATCACCACTCGTTCTGGAATGAACGATGCGGCGTACTGCTGCGCGTGTCGCCTTGCTTGCGCACACCAATACCAGTTAGCTTGGCAAAGCCCAAGTGGGTAAACGGGGGAGCGCTCATACCCGAAACTGCGGTCGTTCCGCCTCTACCGTCCCTTAGCCGTGCCAGCTCCTTGTAGATATTGATAGCATGGAAATGGTATTTCAAGCGCGTACGGTTGCGATAACGAATTCGGTCCACGGGCTGGGTATCTAGGATATGTGTGGTGAACTGCAGGATCTGCCACCGAGTTAAGGCCGACCTACAGTAGGGGGATGGAAAATTTACTCACATCGAACCCCCGGTCATTACGGTGTCTATGCTCGGGACAATCGGTTCGGTCAAACATACGGTCGAGTTCGAGGATTTGCGAGATTTCGTTCCCCACCCAGCGGGAATGGTCTATTCCGGTAAGCACACGACGCCGCAAAGCACCCGAGAAGAGAGGAGGGGGGACTCACTGAAATTCTTCAGCCTAACTTGCCACAGGACTTCTAGCCGCCGCACCGTATTCTTCCGGGTTCGGCTTTCTTGAACGAGATGTCGTATGAACGGCAACGCGCGGAAGAGTCCAATATCTTCGAGCACAAAGACAACGGTCCCGTATTGGCCAAGGCTAGGTGGATGCCCATACGGACCCAGCACGCAGACCGGAAAATGAATCGTCGAGGACGTCGCATGATCTGCAGCTTGCGCGATCCTTCCAGTCACGCCCGGTCGGGGTTGGGTCACTATGCGTAACATGCGAGTGGTGGGTGCTCCTGGCGTATTGTGCACTGTGTCCACGGACGCCACGTAGAATGCTGGAAGCTGTAAGGAGGACCTTACTCCTAAGCGTGGCATCCAGAGCTGTACATACTGCCCCGGTTGAGCCACCCACTCCATGGGAACCGCAATGTCAAGCCATAAGAGCCGGTTGAAAGACCGCGCGAGCGCCCGTCGACATGTGATACGCCACGACCTGTGGAACCACATGGTACGCAGACATGTCCCAGCACTCCAGCCCAATCCGGTGCAAATACCGCCCAGTAGAACCCAGCGGTAGGCCGATGCGCGATCGATTAAATGGTAGGCAAGGGCGCCGGTGGCGATGGAAGCAAGCACATGGTGGACCTTGAGGCCGAGTTGCGGCCAACGTCGAAGAATCGCAGCGAGCGTCCAAGGTAGGATCGACAGGAGACTACAACTAGCCTGTTCAACATTAGCCACTTTTCTTGCTAGCATATCGCTGAAAATTGAGGATGCTGCCGTTCTCCGGCCCGCTTCACGCACCACGAGTGGAATGACGAGGGGAGCTGCAAGTCTTGTATCCCGAGCGACTGTGCCTAAGACGGACCCATGAAGCAGGCAGTGCAATGCGCAAATGCGGCCTAGCCACCGATGGGCCCATTGCACCGTGCCCCGTTCCACGCGGTAGACATGGGCCGGGAGACTGAAGCTAAATCCGGAGTAGAGGAGAACAAGATTTGTGACCGCCAAGCATCCAGCTCGCTTCTGCACTTCCGCCCATGATCGAACATGAACGCTGACTGCAATGATGTTGGCAATTACCAGGGCCGCAACTATCCCCCCTTGCAAGTATGATGGGATATCCAGCCACTGGAGCGGGCCTGGTGTTGGCGCTTGAAAAAAAACGTCTCCAGGATATCGCGTGCTGCAACCGCAACAGCAAGTGGATTTATCGGCGTCCGAGGCTATAAGATAGCCAACAAACGAGAGCGAGGAGTCTACAGAAGCTGAAAATATCTTGGACGGAAGCTCTCGCAAGCCATTCGGCAAACTTTGAGGTGAGGCGGGGCATGCTTTTACGAGAGGCAGCACTGGACGTTAGCAGGTTTATATACTGTTTTTTCAGATAGATTCCCAGACATGGCCGCGAGAGGCTTCACGTATGTGGTCATTCTGCTCCAACGCTTCCTCGGATGTTTGGCTAATGTCCGTTCCAGTGCCTCTATAACAGATTCAGTCCTCGAAAAGCTTCAGTCAGACCCTCTGATTGATCGTATCACACCCGATAGCTCCTGCTAGGCTCGGCGTTCGATCACCCCATCTAAAAGACTTGCATAGTCTAGTTTACTTCGCATTCCTGGTGTGACAATGCTATTATTCGTGGTTGCCTAATCAAATTGACCACTGTGCTGGCTGCCTTCGTATGTGTAGAGGATGCTCTATAATCGCTTGGACTCTTTGCCACAAAATTGATCTAGAATCTCATTGTCCTGATTCATATTGAACAGAAGGTGCCACTGTAACCTCCCAACTGAGGTCTCCACCTGCAAACTCCACCTGCAAACCACTCTTCCAATTTGGTTGGTACCACAATAACCTTCGTTTTTCATTTGCTTACTTTGTTGCAGTTGCATGCTTTTACGCCCAGTTCGCACAAGGCGGGAAGCAGCTTCAAACCAATCATATGCTTTATACCTTGTGAATCGCACTTCTCTCGATATGAAAAGCAAGCTTGCAGAGAAACTACTCGCATACTTTCGGTCAATAGTAAAGGCTTGACCGTCGTGGTAGATGATGAAATGATCCAGCAAATTCCAGGGTACAGATCATGATTGTCGATATATGTGATTTCATGTACACGAAAATGGCTCTCTCTAGCACAGGGTGCTCTGAGGTGGAAATAAAGCTCGTGTTCTAGTTAGCTCTGTATAAGAAACAATACAGACCCTTAGACAGGGGTATTCCGAGAACACTCGTTAAATGGACTAGCCTATTTGTTGAGTATCACGGTGGCTAACCTGATGGCAGGGATTAGGAACATATATATATGAGACATCCCGCCCCTGTAAACAATTTTTTCTTTAAAGTCAATCAATTGAATCAATCAGACAATCTTTTCTCTCAGCACGTGCGAAATGTCTGCGAATATGAATGCAAATTGCGAATATTCGTAACGAATACGAATATATTCGTTATTCGTGCCGACCCCTACCGAAGTTTTGTTAGAATAGCTCCATAAATCATATTGAGTGGGTATCTTTACCAACCCACAAGGGTTTTAGTGTTGGTCTGGTATATCAAGCCCAGAGATCTGCTCATCCAATGACGTGGATGCCGTGTACCCGGGCACAAGCTGAATCGTGGCCTGCATAATCCACCACGTGGCTGATACCCTGGTGACACAAGTCCGATGCATGCGGCCCTTCAGAGAAATTCCATTTTATGCATTTTTCGGAGTTAGCACATCTTAGCCCGACGTACTGGTAATGCGAAATGCTTGTCATTATTAATTGCAGTTGGCTTTGGTGAAAACCAGGCCGGATTCCTATTGTTCAAGCCTCGATCCTTATTCCATGGGTGGAGCAGCGACCAGTCCTGTTTTACTGTGTACATAAATATATGCCAGTAGCTCGGCGTAAATCTGGAAACAAAGTCTTGAAATGAACATTGAATAAAAAAATCCATGGCACTGCCTGGTCTAAAGGGAATCCATCTTTTGAAGCTGAGCTCTGATCAGCTCTGATCTAATCAAATCATTGTTCCCCTATTGAGCAACATTTATACTATGTTGTTTATAGCCGATCATCTTTAATTCATCCCCGGACTGAATCTGGTATTCCTCCCCCTCATTGGTTGTCCCCGCAAACGGTGTATTATCAGCGTCATTGTCGCATTGACACAAACACAACTTAGCTCTCCTGATCCTTTCTTTTGCTGATACCCTTGTCCTTGTCGCTATTTATCCGACGCATCTCTTTGCGTACCGATCTTGTGAATAAAGTCAGCTATATACTACATCCTTCATTGACCTGCCTACCATGGCAGCCGACGAGAACCATGTGTCCGACAAGATCGAATACTCCGCCCCCACGGAAATATCATACTGGAACTTGGTTTCCGACCAGGGCGTCGTGACACAAGAAATCATTGATAATCCGTACTCAGGCTCGGGAACAGAGGAGGACCCATATGCAGTGACATGGGTTCCCAACGATCCGCGTAACCCTATGAACTTCAGCGCGGTGAAAAAATGGTCATACACCATGCTGGTGGCCCTTGCTACGTTGGCTGTGGCTCTGGTCTCATCAGCTTATACTGGAGGCGTTGAAGAGATCGAGAAGCAGTTTGGCATTGGAAGCGAAGTGACAACTCTTGGCGTTTCCCTTTTCGTTCTGGGTTTTGCAGTACGCCTTTCCTCTGCTATCATCTGAGCGTGTGCGATCAAAACTGACGCGGTACTAACATTCTTTCAGATTGGTCCCTTGCTTTGGGCTCCCCTGAGTGAACTGTTCGGACGTCAGGTTCTCTTTACTATAACCTACTCCGCCCTCACGGCTTTCAATGCTGGTACGGCCGGTTCTCAGAACAGCTGGACTCTGATCATCCTTCGGTTCTTCGCCGGTGCCTTTGGATCGTCGCCTCTGACCAACGCCGGTGGTGTCATCGCAGACATGTTCCCTGCTAATCAGAGAGGCATGGCCATGAGTCTTTTCGCATCCGCCCCCTTCCTTGGACCTGTTCTGGGCCCTATCGTCGGCGGATTTCTGGGGATGAACGCGGGCTGGAGATGGGTTATGGGCTTCCTTGCCGCCTTCTCTGGTGCCGTCTGGATTTTGGGTACTCTGCTTATTCCCGAGACCTATGCGCCAGTACTCCTCCGCCGCCGTGCCGAAAAGCTTTCCAATATCACGGGTCTAGTATACCGGAGCAAGGTTGAAATTGACGATGGGAAAATCTCCCTGAAAGAATCGTTCAAGCTTGCATTGTCTCGTCCTTGGATTCTCTTGTTCCGGGAGCCAATTGTATTCCTACTGTCTCTATACATGGCCATTGTTTATGGTACCTTGTATATGATGTTCGCTGCCTTCCCCACTGTCTACCAGCAGGATCGCGGCTGGAACCAAGGGGTCGGCGGTTTGACGTTCTTGGGAATCATGGTTGGCATGCTGATTGCCGTGATCTACTCCATATGGGATAACAAGCGTTACGTCAAGGTCGAGGAGGCGCATGGTGGTTTTGCCCCCCTCAGTCGCGCCTGATGCCTTGCCTCATCGCCTCCTTTGCTATCCCAATTGGTCTGTTTTGGTTTGCGTGGACCAATTACCCCTCGATCCATTTCATGGCCAGTATCACGGCCGGTGTGCCCTTTGGATTCGGAATGGTTCTGGTGTTCTTGAGCATTATGAACTACCTGATCGATGCCTACACGATCTTCGCTGCATCTGTTCTGGCAGCCAACTCAGTCCTACGTTCTTGGTTCGGTGCCGCGTTCCCCCTATTCATTACCTATATGTATAACAACTTGGGCATCCACTGGGCTTCCTCGATCCCTGCATTTCTGGCTCTCGCCTGCATGCCATTCCCTTTCCTGTTCTATAAGTACGGCCCCGCGATCCGCCAGCGTTGTAAGTTTGCGGCCCAGTCTGATGCCTTCATGCGCAAGATCCAGGAGCAGGTCAAGGCAGATCCGGTGGAGGAAGACGAGAAGGGAGAATTTTTCGATCGCACGGATGACCCTGCGCCGCAAGGGTCGACTTCCAGCGAGTTTGAATCCGACGCCGATGGGCTCACGGCCACTGGGCGCATCCCCAGCCACGCACGTTCGACCGTCTCCGCCCGCACTGCTAGCTTTTTGCATCGGACGCAAACCTACGGAGGCAACCCTTACAATGTTGACCGCGTCAACACCCGCGAGCCCTTCAATTAAGGGACTGTTGAGTCTCGCCACCCCCACCCCCTCAAAACCTCTTTTCGGTCATACCCCATACACGACGGGTCTGCCATATACCGCATGAAGTAATATCATGGTATTTGAAACTGAAATCTGAAACCGAAGTCATGAGTGGGGCAGGGAAAGAAGATGGCGCATAGGCGAGCAAGTTGGCGCCGCTACGTGCTAGTCGATATTACATCGGACCGACAACGTATTATTGTTTGGGCCAAGGATTTAGCAGATGAACACTGGACACAAATGATGACGCACGCTACTAGCTCACTGTCGTTCCGCCTGAGAATGTTCTTCGGATATTATTGATGAGCCGCGTGACAGGCGGAGGCAGAAACGCAACACGCCGAGTACGCAAATAAGAATCGAATGCCAGTGCCACAGTATCGCGAGGGAGACGAAATGTGGCTAGAGACACAGAATTTGAGTATAGTAGCGGCCGGCCAGGAAACTCTCGGAGAAATTCATTGGACCATTCCGAGTCGCAGAGGTCATGGGCCCAGTCACGTACCGATTTGAGCTTCCCCCAGCAATGCGAATTCACGGCGTTTTCCACACGAGCTTGCTCCGCCCAGCGGCTTTGGACCCCTTCCCTAGCCAAAACGAACCTACTCAACACCGAGTCAGATTGAATAAAGATAACACCAAGAAAGGAGAATGGATGATTGAAAAGATACTGGATTCATGTGTCACCAAGAATCGACATGGAAAGAGAAGACTGGAGTAATACGTGAGATGGAAAAGCTGCCCTCCTTCGTGGCGACCCTAACAGGACCTGGTCCCAGGGAGTTAGATAATGCCAAAGCTCGGCATCATTGCGCTTCCATTGGGGAGGAGCTTTATCCGTTGTCAGATGCGTCTGGGCCCATTCGCTCCGAGTTGAAACATCAACTCGACTATCTCATCTTTACTGGGAGCCTGCGATTTGATGACAAACCGTGGTCTTCTGATAGTTCATCAACAGACTGCTGGGCCTATTCTCATCGCCATAACGAGACTGTCCAGGTGTCTTGTGGCTCCAAATTTCCAGCCATCTGTACATCCCGCCTTCCCCCAACGACCGACAGAAACAGTGCTGTCCAAGCGTCGTCTAAGATCAAGGTGACGGCTGATCACTACACTTTCTCCGGCTATCGCGATGCTCGCTCATTTCGGTTCTTGGGGATTCCCTTTGCAGATCCTCCTTTGGAAAGCTTACGTTTTTCACCTCCCCGAGCCTATTCTGGTCCCCCAAACATCGATGCGACCAAGCTGGGAAACTCTTGTATCCAGTCCAATTTCTCAACCCAGATGAATTCCAGCATGTCAGAGGACTGTCTCTATCTCAAAATCTATACACCCGTTCTGCCGGCGCAACTCTCCAAAAATTCTACGAGCCGACCTGTCGCTGTTTATTTTCATGGAGGAGCGTTCAAAGAGGGAACCGCTAGTACGATAAACCACGATGGGGGAACTTTGCCAGCCGCAACGATGTGGTATTTGTCACAGTCAATTACCGAGTGGGGGCGTTGGGATTCCTGGCAACTGGCAATCTCACAACTGGAAGCTATGGGATCAGAGACCAGATTCTTGCTTTACAGTGGGCGAACAAGTATATTGAAAAGTTTGGGGGTGACCCTGACCAGGTCACCATATTTGGTCAGTCCGCCGGAGGTCAGAGCGTGATCGCTCTTCTGTCATCTACTGCAGCCCAAGGTCTCTTTTCCGGAGCGATCATTCAATCTGCCCCAGTGGATCTACCATGGTTCTCTCGTGGGGTATATTCAGAACTCATCGTCCCCGAGGTAGCCAAAGCCGTTGGTTGCAACCAAACAGCACCTGAAGATGCTTTGATTTCGTGTCTACGGTCCGTTCCTGCACGGCAATTTCTCGACAACAGCACTGCGTTTCAAAGCGCCCTTCAAACCATGACCATAAGGATAGGCTCTAAATTCTTAAAGGCGAGCACCTTACTCGCCTCGATCGAACCCCTTATGCCCATGGTCGACGACATGGGCACCGGAGTGATCAACGATCAATTCCACACCTTGCTGGCCACGGATTCTCTTCCCAACCGCGTGCCGACCATGTTCACAACTGTCTCCAACGAAGCATGTTATTATGTTGGCAAATTAATATCTCCCATCGGCACCAATCAGTCAACGCTCGATGCAGTCTACAAACTCGCGTTCCCGCCTGACCTCGCAAAAGCTATTGTCACATCCGCCGCATTTGGGCTCAACGCTACTGATCCCGACGGCGCCCGCAATGCGCTCGCTAGCACCTTGACACATTCTGAATGGAAATGTCCTCAAGCCCACCTTCTCAGCCAAAGCAACAATCATAGTTTCCCATCCCTCTACGAGGTTGAGATTACGAATGGACACATCTCAAGCCCAACTGAACATCCCGAGATCTGTTCTCCAAACCCGATTTACAATGCCAGCTGCCATGCCTCAGACGTTCTTCCATTTAGGGAACACTGAACAGCAAAACACAACAAGTTCAGCCCTACTTTAACGGGGAAGATATTAGGCACTCGCAGTCTCTCAACGATATCTTTGGCGCTTTTTTCCGCACTCACAATCCCAACCCGAGCCAGGAAATGTTGAGGATCCGTGGACCTGCGTATCAAGCTACATATACTTTATTCGGGAAACAAAAGTATCTAGTGCACGAATATTCTGGGAAATCCAGCAATATGAGTTTGTTAGGCAATTATCCTTCGTGGAAAGCCGATCCGGGGTTGTCAAGGAAATGTGCTGTGTTTGAAAAGCATGGTTTTACTTTCCAACGCGCTCTTTCTTTGTGAATGGGGTACTTTGGAAAGTGAAGTGAACATATAGGGATATATACGCAGTTCTACCTCAAAGCTCCAATGGCCATCTTGCCAGAATCTTATGATGACTTTGAATCCTCGAAGACCTTCAATCTTTATACTGGTCTCTTAAGTGATCAGGAAAACGTGAAGAAGCGCTCGGAATCACTTTCACCTTGTACTCTCTTTGATTCATTCTCTTTCGAACACAGGCCTTGGATGACGCTATACCTATTGTTATTATACTCATGACGCATGTTCTTGGCAGTATCTTGATACGTTAACTTTGAAATTCTATAAAAATAGCTATCGTATCATGACTGGATGGGTTTGCCATGGCGAGAACTCCACTTGCGAGTACTGTTTACCAAACAGACCAATTAACAGGCGGTTCGGTCGGTCATCGAAACGGAGGTACCGGTCCGGGAACCTCTGGACTGTTCATCACATAGCATGACTGCTACGAAGCTGATTTAGATCCAAATAAGTCTGGCGCGTAACTGAGGTCCCATTTTCTGGTGTCCCATTATATGTTGCCCCTTTGCCTGATACTTGTTTGTGGGAATTGCCAACATCTTGGGATTTGGGACGTTTGTCGAGGTTTGCACGATCCAGTACCTGCAGTGAGAACCAAATCCATATTAGCTAGCGACGCACCGTTTCAAGCCAAAAGGGACTGGATCGCCCGGGGAGAAAGGCCTGTTCTTGAACAAGCTCGGCAAGGGGTTTAGTTTCTACCGCACATGTTAGTCAGATTATTGCACCTTGATATGCTATTCCCGGCAGTTTCGGCTTCTGGTACTTGGCCTTCGCCGTGGCCTATGTTTAGTCTTTACTTCAAAATTCCCATGAGACAGACCACACCGCAGAGTTCTCCGCTCGCGATCGACGCAGTTTCCGCCGTAGAGGGGGTGAGGGGCGTTGGCGCTGTTGGTCGTGATGAGGGCTAACGGTCCCGAGTTTTCTCATCAGCAGAGGGTCCACCGTTCGTGCAGGAACCTTGGTCGTAGCGTAAGCCCACGGGCGATCGGATCGGGCGATAGTCAAATTGTTTTCGACAAAAAAAAAAAAAAAAAAAAACAGCACAACACAGCACAAATGGAAGAAAAGCATATCGAGATATTTCCGGCCCGAAAGTGGCTATTGCCGTGACCTCATCTCCGATCGGAACGAAATAGTTGTGCAGACCATACTTGGCCATAAACTACCAAGTTGCTAGTACGCGCAAATGTAGAGTCGCTGTTCGCTTTATTACAGGAGCGACTCAAGGAGTGACCCGCAAGATTTCTGCGTAAGTTGTCTGAAATGGGTAATGTATCATAGAAATTAAGACGATGATTCATGAGATGACATCCCCGCAAATATGCCATCATTCCCTCGAAGGCAAAAAAGACATGAGCGCTGCTTTGGTTAAGGAAATCCAGCATAGGCCATAGACGACCAAGGGGTCCCACAGCGGGATGGCTCTGGGTGGTATTGCTATAGGCATCAAACTCACCTTCACAATAAATGTGCTTGAACAGTGCTGTGCCAAATGTCGTCCAGAGTGTAGTGATTTTGGCAAATAAATAGTTGATGCGCGGAGGACAATTGACCCAAGGGACGTAGAGAACCAGGCGATTTCCTGGCAAGAGCTGCTTGCGCGCGATACGTGAATAGAAATGACGCCAATGGACAAAAGATACATAAGGTCGGCTTGACTTACCTGCAGCTGCAGTGACATCCAGTACAATCCGCCAGCCAGCTCTCGGGGGTTTCTCCCTGGGTGGCGTCGCCAGCCTGCTGAGCTGCATGACCGGAGGGCCTATTCGTATCCAACTACGACGTGCGGGGCGAAATCGCCGCGTTCCGGCACGGATTCTGACTTGAAGGCGTTCAGTCATAATCCGAGCGTTGCGGCATTGCCTGGTCAGACAGCCGCAAAAATCAATTATCTGAATCAACGGTTCCTCTAGTACTGAATTGAATTACCGTTGCGGCGTCCTTTGTGTCTTTTCACACATTGGTTGGCTTGGATAGAAAAACGCGTGCTTAGGATTCAAATCTACCGAACTTTTCTCAAAATACTTCTGACAGCCCTCATGATGCAGCTTCGTGTATATTCGATTGATTCATTTTCGCTCGCTCGAATTCATCCCCAGCTCAGCAACGTCGGATGGGACCAAATGGAACTGTAGCGGACAGAGTTACTTGGTCGTGGGCTCCTCAATGGGTAGGCTGTGCCTCGGGATAAGAGGGTCTCGTACTCTCAACTCCCCAGCAATACAGTCACCACTCATGCCATATTATATGTATCCTGGTTGGTCGCATTCTCCGGCTGCCGATTCAAAAAGACCGTGCTGGGGAACACATATGATACGATTCCATTCGCTCCAATAGAATTCGTCATTTGCCAATAAGGTGTAGAGCGAAGAGAGACGTGTTTGGTGAGTGTTGTGGTGAGATATGTGTGGTGAAACATCAGTGTTGCGGTGCATCGTCGGGCGGTTGAAGGGAGCGGTAATCAACGTCTCACTGAGGCCGGTTTTTTTGCCATGCCACCCATAATGAAGATGATCATAGATGCATCAATTTGCATTGTTGATTTCGCAACTCATTTGATGACTCCTACTGGTGACTCGGTGAAGTTGGCGTACAGCCTCCAACCCGATTGTGATGGTTGACCACGCCTACCTGGTGTAGAAGCACATGATGCGATATACTCTGTTTCTTGCGCAGTCATGGCGATTGAGGATCGCTTGAGTCTACCCTATAATAATGTTGTTACATCTTGAGGTAATCGCGAGAGCGAGAGTAGCTTTGCTTCGAGGAAAATCATGTTATCGACAGTGTTGGCTCCAGACTCCGATCCACTCCTTGTACAAGTCGAAGCCGACGCAACCTTGTGAATAATCCCCCTCAGCAACTACGATTCATATTGTCAGCCCATCTCCCATGTATCAGGATCCACTATTGCACTCAAAGAGAGGGACGTTGAGTTTTTGAGGCGTAGTACCCGAGCTCAAGCGATCAAGCATGCTCTAATGCCGAGCGATCACGGGTGAAACCCGATCGGGGTCTAACAAGCGCAATCTGAACCACGTGTGGTAAATTCATCTCCGCCATCATTTACGACAAACTTTCATGAGTGGAGATGGGAGATCATCCCAGTTGGTACTTGGGTTGACTTGTAATCGCAGCAGACAGGCGCCTAAACCATTTCTCCAAAGGCAAATATTGCATGAGCGCTGATTAGGGGTGGAAAACCCAGGATAGGTTGTCGGAAATATTCAAAGAGGCCGTGGAGCAGGATAACTCTTGGTGGTGTTATTACGGACATCAGTGCCACCTTCAAAAAAGATCTACTTGAACAGCGATATGCCAAATGTCGTCCAGGGCATGATGTGTTTGACAAATACATACTTCATGCTCAATGGAGAGTCGACGTAAGGGGACGCAGACAAGTCGGCCGTTTCTTGGCAAGACCTGCTTGCGCGCGGTATGTCAAAAGACAATTTAAGCGAGAAAAGGATACACGCGCTCGGCTTGACTAACTTGCAGCTACAGTTGCCTTTCCAGGGTAAATGGTCTTTGCACATGTTGCTCGGGCTTATGTAGACAAAAGTGTGTCCGGGCATCAAATATGACCAACATCTGTCTGAAGAAAGTACAATACTTCTACGATTCTTTCTCGCTCGCTGGTTTACGTCGAACGGCCCAGCAACGCGGAGTAGGATCAGATAGGACAGTATGTGTCGGTGGCTCTTAGCTTATGGTTCTTTAGTTGGCTCGGCTGTGAGTCTGGACCAGACAGTCTCTTCTTCTCGATCCATAGCTGATGTGGCCAATCTTAATCTGCAGGCTCGAATTTACGGGACCTTGCCTCACCTTCTCGCTATACGAAGACTTGGACTAACCATCTGAACGTCTGGGAAGGTATGGCTCACCACCATGAAGCAAGACAAAACCACCAGCATTTTTCGAGTCTTTCGGAGATCTAGGACTGAAAAGACGCGAGATGCCAACCGAATACAATGAGGATCATCCATTGGACGCCAGTGATTCGATACACAAGGAGGTTATTCTTTCATGATGTTCGAATGCCGAGATACACGATGATATAAGCCCATTTCGGCTTGGGCTCTGTATCGGAAAGACACATCATCACATGGCCTGATGCACAGAGTCGAATGAGATAGGGGCCGAGGTAGACGATCTAAACCTTGTAATATTGACTCATCATCCATGCCACCAGTAGCTCTCTGGAAGTGATTGTGGAAGTGATAGACAGCATGCGCACGCATCGGTATAGGGAATATCGAGCAGACAAGGCATTGGCTCGCTTCGCAATTGACTCGAGTGACGGGAAAATGAGGTGACCTCCTGTTGTACGGTACTAATTAGCAAAGCTTGAATTAAACTTTTGCGAAACGAGCTGGCAAGCCAACGACAGGGGAGCCAATCGCGATGATCGCTAGTCAGAAGTGTGAGATGCCCGTTCTTCATGGAAAGTAAGTAGAGCGACTTATCGCGCCTTTTGCTTCGCCGGATCTAGTTATTTGTGCCATCTCTTGTGACCAAAACACGAAAGCCACTGACATCTTCATGCATTGTACAAGCAGCCCATAGCCACCCGTGAAAGATGGTATAGCAAGGAACGTATTCCCGCCCAGTCAGAGATAAAACTGTTGTGATTTGGAACTGGAGCAGACCCAAGCCGCACCGTCGGAATTAACTCCGATGTATCTATACGGACAACCAAGTTTATTTCCAATCAACTTGGCTCGTTGTTGTATACATAAACTCATGTATCCATCTGAAATAATACCTCGATTCACACCTCTGAAAAACGACCGATTATGAGCCCGAGAGCAATATTTCGGGTGCCGTTACTATTCATCTGAGAATCAGCTTGACCATCTATTAAGCAAATGATATATACCTATGTGAAGCATACGCACTGAGAAAGAGATTGTTTAAGCATGTCTATCTATACTATGTAGTTCACCTAGTACTTATAGACATGGTTTGTGTGCTCACTCATAAGCGAGCTTCATGGTGGTTGAGTGCTGATACTGCGACTCAGGCCTGATAGATCAGGTAGTGAGATCTCATAGTCACATAAATTTCTGTTGAGAATTGTCCTTCATTCTATTATCTTGGGAATTCAATTCTCGAAGTTTTTCGCAAAACTCCATAATTCTGACCTCATTGCTGTCCCACGTGGATAAGCCAATAGGAATCGCCTCAAGTGTCGATTACCTTGGATTAGACAAATTCACACATTTGATTCTCACCCATACCTTTCCGTTCAGTAGATCAGGATAGCTCCTTCATGCTGCATTATTCTAGCCTGCTAGTATAATTCAACACTATCATCGGTATTGCGCTACATGTATATATATGCAAGTGAAAACCACATAAGGATAGGTAATTGTCTACACAACATATATACTAATATACAAGGACCAAGTCCATTACTATCCATCGCTTCTTAGGGGAGCAGTGCTGGCCTGGCAATTACCGAAAGTTCGTCTGCAAAACTCATGTCAGACTAATACGCAGTACCGAAAGGAGATTAGGGAATATTTGTCATAAGTTTTGCCATATGTGCAACTTCCCTGGGGTGTTTACTCCTGGCCTGACCTGCTGAAGGTCGCAAACTGATACGATAAGACATCCCATTACAGCCTTTCTGGAGTTCAAGCGTTTGGGGATCAATTTAGTGAATAGTGAGTACCCCCTCCTCTCCCTGGCCGACCAGACCCACACGTCCCCCCTCCCTTTTGTACAACATGTCGCGCACTAACCTACTGCTAGTGGGTTGGTGGGCTTGGCACGGCTATCTCTTCGTTCTATTAGACATAAGTGGGGGCGCTCCGTGTCATAGACACGGTCAAACTGATATATGAGATGCAGGACGATTGCTGTGCTCCAACACGTTCTGATTTAAACCCTATCCAAGCAATTTCCCTCATCAATTATGGGCACAATATCAACTCTTCGTCGCTTTCTAGCCCATCTTGTTAATGGTTCACAAAATAAGAAGCGGGTATCCTCTGCCGACTGGATGCGACTTTGTTTCACCATAGGTCCAGAAAACATTTCGTGGGTTTCTATGGGGTATGTAAAGAGCAAGTGGAGCATGGCTGCAGGAAATGGCCTAGCGGCCGTTCTCTCTTGTCTAATTTACAGTGTCACCGCTACGAGACGGCACAGCTAATGAGAGAGAATACATAGATTATTGCCCCGAGAAGAGTTCTATTCCAATGAACTCTCAAGTCATTGGCCCACACCAGTATTCGCTCTAGTACTGGGCCTGTGAGACTGGGGTCTCGATCCGGAGTAGACCATGGAAGCGCGACGGCTGGCACTTTCCTTCCGAGCGTCGGACAATTGCTGAGCGAATGGTGATTTTCTGCGCATCACCGGTCCTTTCCAATAGATCACGTAGACGGAAACCACGAGAAGACAGGAGATGCAGACTAGAAGGGTTTTAGAAGAGTGGAAGTGTAGGGGGGAGGTCACATACAGAGAATGGTAGATGCGTATTCGAGATTACGATCCGGGGCACCGATATCTGGTGATCTGTGTAAGAAATGCCTACTAACATGGAAATAAGGGTCAACGTACTGCTGAAAAATGGTGTGGCCGGCACAGTGAGAGCACCTGCGAGTATGTCTCTTGCAAAGCCATTTCCACCAGTGGCGGAAGCAGAATAAGGACCGTACGCGCAAACCATGTAGTCGATGGTGGTCATATAGATGGTATAGTTCCCAATGCCAACGATAGCTGCGAACACCATGCTTCCCATCCAGTGGACCGGGGGCCCTAGACTCGTCCATGCAAAGCCAATCAGGCCTATGGGGAGGCAAGGGGCTGTGTAGAGTAGCCACCAGAGCCGGGATTCATATTGCACATGTTCATCATCAGGATTCTTCTTTCTCTTGGTGGAATTCCTGTGCAATACTGGGTACATGCTGAGCCAGGCAATGATATAGCCCACTAATATGGGGATAAAGGAAAGGCTTACAGCAACAGTACTGAAGCCCCACTGCCCGTAGACGAGGCTAAAAGATTGAATAAACATGAAGATTAGAGCATCGCTGAAGCCACTGAGCAGGGACAAGGTCAACACTATGGGCTCTGTTACCAGCATCTTGAATGGGCGTATCCAGGTGAGAAGGATCTGGCTCAAAGAAAACCGTTCTTTGAAGGGCTGGAATTCATCAGGCCCACAGACATTAAGCCCAGTTGCCTTGCGCTGTTCCTTAGCGTAGTTATTGATCATGATAGTAGTCCGGGTTTCAGGAACAAGCAGCAGGTGGCAAATTTGAACAAATCCACCAAAGATCAACTGGATCCACATTGCTCAAGGCCAAGGCTGGAAGGCCTCAACAAAACCTCCTATCAGAGGACCTAGGACTGAACCAGCGACTGAGGAAAATACCACAGATGCTACTGCGTAGTGTTGATGCTCTGGCTCCCACAAGTCTGCTATCATTCCCAGTGTAACTGAGCCGCCAGCTAGACTGAGACCACCAAATGCCCTCCCAACCATGATAGTCGCAAAATTCGGTGCAAGAGCAACAGGGATCTGCCAAATATTTGTGAGGAGCATGCTGACTTGTAAAATAGGCTTGCGCCCTAGCTCCTCACTCCAGGGTGCCCACAGCTCGCAGCCAAATGCATAAGTCACTAGGTAGGTCATAGCACCACAGCGTGCAGCCTGGAGACTGACACCAAATTGTTCTGAAATACCTCCGATGGCATTCGAATACAAGCTGGTGTTGAAGTTCATCGAGGTCTGGACCAGGAAGATGACCGAGATGATCATCCATTTTTTCCAGCCTGGGAAGCAAAATGCCAAATGATCGTAGCAATCGTCTTCGTTCAGGACAATATAACCGTTTCTTTCTCGCAGATCAAGCGAGCGTCTCCCAGCGGCGGGAGTATGATTTGACGGTGGCTTTTCCGAGTCCATAGAGACGGAAAAGGAACGGCCGTGGTCGTGGATGGGTTGGAAATGGGCGATGTTGTCATCTGTCCCAGACCGAGGAGACTCAAGCAATCGACGCTCTATCTTGCTACTATATTGTTGATTGCTGCTCATATTAATCAAATTTCAAAAAAAGAATAGATTTTTGAAATGGTGACCCGTGTAACCGGGCCGGAATGAGAGGGCCGATGTTGGGAATTTGGCTGTGAACTTGGAATAAACGAAAGGATGACAACATAAATAGATCAGTTATCTGAGGAAGAGTCGGGTTTTGTCGTCTGGCATTGAATGCGAGACATTATGTGAACTTGCAGGGAGTCGGAGAACCGCGAAAAGACGTTAGGCCATGCTTCTCCACCCCAATATATGGATCGCGATGATGTAGATGCTCGTCATGAAACCCCGGGTCTAATCCCATCAACGAATCATAAAAGATCTAGCACTAGTATGGTCTGAAAACGGATTGGGTATATTTCCCGACCAAAACCTGGAAGACGTCATAACCTGTGCAGCAACGCCATATACATTTCCTTCCCACATAGAGGACCCTTAACAGATTTGGCCTGCCTCCCTATTACTTGAAGCTCAAATAATAATTGTGACTAAGCAACACCGATGGTCGGTCCCCTCCCATCAGTGAGCCAATGCTCAATAACAAAAAATTCATTGATTCTGTTGTGATATGAGGCTGGTGCAGATCAGGACAAGCCGCACCGTCGGTATTAGCTCCGAAGTGTCTATACAGACGACCAAGTTGATTTCCAATCAACTTGGCTCAATGTTGTATATATAGGCTCATGTGTCCCTCTCGAGTAACAAGTCATTTCATACCTCTGAACAACAACAGGTAATGAGCCCGAGAGCATAATCTCGGGTGCCGTCTCTACTCATCTGAGAATCATCTCATCAATCTTGATTATATATCTACCCCGCTTTCGCAATATCACTATGTCTGCTCTGGTCCATGAGTCTCCTGACCGGGCCGTCACGGCCATTGAGCCTTTGACAGAGAGCGACAACTTTGCGACCTGGAAACGTCTCATGACCTCCTACCTCAAAGCAAGGCAGGCTTGGGATGTTGTGTCGGGCGACCTTCAGCGTCCCGACTGTCTATTCAAGTACGCCAAACCTATTACGGCGGACATCCACCCCTTGGTGGAGCCCCACCTTAATGGGGCGGTGAGGCAACGAGCTATTGAAAAGCGCGCCTCGAGGTGGAGGTCCAGGCATTCGAGCGCCATCGTGAATGGTCGCGCCGCGAAGCCGAGGCCTACCACACCATCTTCCGGTACCTGTCCCCCCACATCAGCATTCATGTCGCGGGACTAGAGACGTCCCGTGATCTCTGGAATGAACTTGAAGAGCGATACCGGCGAATGGAGCTCGCCACCTTCTGCGAACTGTTTGCTCAGCTTCGCGGGACCACCGGCGAACGATGCGCCAGTGCGCGTGATTTTGTTGATCGCGTACGGCTGCTCGTACATCGATTGAATGCCATTGCTCCAGGATCAATCGGTGATAAGACACATATTGCGATTCTGCTCACGCAGATCGGACCGGAATACATCCCGGTTGTGGATGCGGTTCAGAATGACAAGGATCCGGTCAACCCGACCACGATCGGAAATCGGCTTTCCAACGCCGAACAGACGGTCCGACGAAACGAGTCTCCCGCGCCCCTGCAGGGAGTCCCAGGACCGTCAATCAATGCAGTGCAGAGAAATCTCAAGAAGTGTACCTACTGCGAGAAGCGCGGCCATGTGGTCGCGGAGTGCTGGAAGAAACAGCGCGAAATTCACCCGCCTAGGGACCATGCCCTGAAGGCTGAACGGAGTGCTTCCGGCTCACCAAGAAACAACATGCAAAATTTACCGTCAAGCCAGAGAGAATATCGGCAGGGCCCGCTGACTTCCAAGAAACCGAGGATCAATATCGTGAGGGGGAGGGTGACGACCCTATATACCCACGCACCGCAACCCCGGTGGATCCTGGACTCAGCTGCCACCAGCCACATACATCTGCTGGGACTGGAGCTGCTTCAGCAGTCTGTGGCCCCACCGCGAGATATTGGGCACGGCGGGTGACCCAGTGGAAGCGGAAGGGATTGGTACGGTGAAGCTCACGCTCCGGTGGAAGTTCAACCAACCAACCCCTGGTATTAAAGAATGTGTACTTCGCGCCACGCGTCGGGATGAACCTGATCAGCGTGCCGAAGCTATTGCAAGACCGCTACTCGGTGGTGGCGCACCCCACAAAATGTCTTTGTGCAACGCCGAGGACGGACCGTGGGGACTGCCTACCATGCGGAGGAGGATCTGTTGATCATGCGGTGCCATGTGAGCAGGAGAACTCGAGAGCGAGTCCAACTGGCGAGGGCGCCGGCACTCCATGGCTATGCAGATTCCCTGGAACCGCAGGCGGTGGCCGTGGACGTCGACGACCCTCAGGAGTCAAGTGACGCAGAATGCGCAACGTCAACCTCTGAACTCGGTGGTGAAGGTGTGATACTCGAAGAAGATCCGTGCAAAGGAGTGGACCAGGCCTCCGAAGCGTTGTGGCACGCTCGGATGGGACATCTGAACCGGGGAGACTTGAGGGTGGTCCTCCGGTAGACCGGCACTCCATACCGACCGCTGACGCAGGCGCAGCTGCTGGCAACGCCGCAGTGCCGAGCGTGTATGTCGGGTAAGCAGCATCAGAAGAGGAACTCCCGTGCAAGACGGCCACGTCTGCATTCAACGAGAATCTTTGAAATGATCCATTCGGACATCATGGAGATGCCGATCGCCACAGATGGCTCCAGGTACGTGATCGCCTTTACTGACGATTATTCTCGTGGCTCCTGGGCATATGCCATGAGATGGAAGCATGAAGCGCTCCAGAAGTTCCGACTATTTGAGGCCTGGGTGCACCGACAGTTCGGCGCCCAGATCAAGAGGTTCCTCACCGACAATGGGAGAGAATACCTGCCGATCGGAACACATCTCGAGACCCAGGGAGTTGAGTTTGACACCTCGCCGCCATACTGCAAGGGGCAGAATGGTCTGGCCGAACGCACCAATCGCACTATCCGGGAGCGGATCAACACGTTCCTGTCTGATGCGAACCTTCCTCCTTCCTGGTGGACTGAGCTTTTAGAAACGGTGGTCTATCTGAAGTTGCGCGCGCCAGCATCAATTTTGCAGAAGAAGACCCCGTACGAAATCATCTACGGGAAGCCGCCCTCGCTGTTGCATCTGCGACGGATCGGCTCCCGCGCATGGGTGTTGATTCCCAAAGAGCATCGAGCAAAGCTCGGACCCAGGTCGTCCGAGTGCCGATTGCTAGGTTATGGTGAGCCGAACCAGTACAAACTGTATGAGATCCATTCCGGAAAGACCGTCTTTTCCCGTAATGTCGAGTTCGATGAGAGGACCCCTGTGGCGCCACTCATCGAGGGGGAAACAGGCAACGACCTCCCGGACAACGCTCCTCCATCATCGGTCTTTCCGTCAGTACCTTCCTTGGCTAATGGGCTGCCGACACCACCGGTATCGCCTTTGCCCTTTTCATCCGAGCAAGAGAAAACGCCGTCTCAGCATGGGGAGGAAATACCTCCACCGGTCAATCCAATTGAACAGGAAGCATAGTCCACACAGGACCTCGGCTATTCCGTCTATGGCCGCAGAAGACGACCTTCACGGCGTCTTCTAGAGTCATTAGGCAAGGTATACTCGACAGGCACATTGAATCCCGCACCGGCCAGGCAAGTCGACCCGGTGGCCTTTCGGGAAGCTGTGTCGGGTTCGGATCAGCTGGAATTGTGGGCTGCCATCCAGAAAGAATATGCGTCGCTTCTCGAACACGGAACATGGGAAAAGGTTCGACGAGCAGACGTTCCCGCCGGAGATCATGTGATTGGCTGCAAATGGGTCTTCAAGACTAAAGTCAACGGAACGCGCAAAGCGCGATTGATGATCAAAGGCTACCGGCAGAAGCATGGCGTCGATTATCATGAGACGTTTGCTGCCGTATCGCGAATGGACTCGGTCCGGTGCATCGTCGCCAGCGCCGCGCTTCGCGGATGGAAACTACATCAATTCGATGCGGTCACCGCATTCTTACATGGGGACGTTGACTCGTCCATCTATATGGAGTCGCCCGAAGGCTTCGAAGAACCAGGGTACGTGTGTAGACTTCGACGCTCCTTGTATGGTCTCAAACAGGCTCCACGGATTTGGTACCAATGCGTCCACCGTGTCCTGTCCGCACATGGCTTCACTATGTCTCAATCTGACAACTGCGTGTTTCACAAATCTGATTGCGTGATCTGTGTTTACGTCGATGACTTTCTCATTGCTGCAGCAAACTCGCACGAAATCAAACAAGTGCAACAAGCATTGGAGAAGGAGTTTCAATTGAACGACCTTGGAACTCCGCGTTCATTCCTCGGAATCCAATTCGACTATCATGCCGACGGAGGTGTTTCTATTCACCAACACCAGTACATCCAAAAGATTCTGTCTGACTTTGGCATGGAAACCTGTCAGGCGAAGACTACCCCGATGAATCCCAAGCAAGTTTTGAATCATTATCCGGACGAAGCACCTCCAGACGAGGAAGCCAAAGCACGATTTGCAACCGCCATCGGTTCGTTGATGTATCTGATGGTTGGAAAGCGACCGGACATCGCGTTTGCGCTGGGCACGTTGAGTCGCTTCACGTCTCAGCCGCAATCGCACCACCAGGTCGCCCTGCAGCGATTGCTTCGCTATGTCAAAGCCACACAATACCATCGCATCACATACCGCAGCGGACAATTGATTGGATACACGGATGCCGACTTTGGCGGCTCTGTCGTCACTGATGGAGCCTACTCGACGTCCGGGTATGTATTCCAACTTGCGCGTGCGCCGGTTTCCTGGTCGTCCAAGAGGCAGGGGGAAGTAGCCACGTCTACAACTCATGCCGAATACATCGGGCAATACAATGCCATTCTGCATTTGCAATGGCTCCGCACCTTTCTGGCCGAAACGCAACTGTATCGGTCTCCAGTCATCAACATCATGGCTCACAGCCAGTCGCCATTGCCCTCTCGCGCAATCCCGAGTTCCACAAACGGACCAAACATTTCAACGTGAAATTCCATTATCAGCGAGCAGTGCTGAATGCTGGCGAGATTGGTCTTCAATATGTTCCTACTGGAACAGGCCGCTGACGGTCTCACCAAGCCGTTGGGACCTACGGCTTTTGCCAAGTTCTATAGTCTTCTAGGAATCGAAGCCTTCGAGACTCGGAGGCAACAGACGTGACAGCGCAGGCGCTCTTTCCACTTTATTTTCCCCCGAAGGTTTTTTAGTGGTTTTACCGAGGCTTGCCTGCACAGCGTTAATCCAGTGTCGCCTTGCCAGCAAAGCTACCCTGAGGGGGAATGTTGTGATATGAGGCTGGTGCAGATCAGGAACCAAGCCGCACCGTCGGGATTAGCTCGGAAGTGTCTATACAGACGACCAAGTTGATTTCCAATCAACTTGGCTCATTGTTGTATATATAGGCTCATGTATCACTTTGAAATAACAAGTCAATTTATACCTCTGAACTACAACACACACCGCGAGTTGTCGCAGAACCTGCTGCTTTGCTGCTAGATTGAATTAACTCCTGCTTTAGCCCTTCTCAGGATATCTTCTGCAAACAACACAGAATATATGGTCGGGCGATTTAGCGGGGGTCATTGCCTTCCTATCCTCCATAATCACCTCGCCAACATGGATAATACATTGGAAATCAAGGCGATTTTGAATAGACCAGGCTAAAATATACATTGTGCGTTGATGTTGAATTGAAATATTGACATTTGGTGTATAGATTTACATGTGAATGTGTGCTTTTGGTGCGGTCAATACAACCTAATGTTCGTGTTCTTCTCATATTCATCGTACAGTTTGTATTATCTCCAGTTACATTGCTTTTCAATATGCGTCTTTTTCGTTAGAGCTACTCACTGACGTTGGCAGTACGAGTCTCTCCACTTTCGCCCCTGCACGACTTAAAGTAGCCAAGTCTTTTTGCTGCCCTGTTGAAGGTAAAACTTATGGACCCCTAGAAATGGCTAGTCAGTGATGATTCATTCATCCTGTATTATAAAACTGCTCACGTTGATCTTCCAATAGCACAACGCTTTCGTTAGAGAGGAAGTCAACATCTTCAGCAATTTTGTACTGCAGGTCCCGGGTTCGGCCATTTTGATCCTCAAATGCGAGGCGAACATGTTTTATCTCTCCAGTAAAAGATTTCCAGAGGTAATCTGTCTCATCGTCCCCTAGATAAATGTGGCTAATCGGAACCGCCGTAGAGATAATATTGTTGTCAAACCTGGATCTGGGCATGGTGGGATGTTATTATGTATCCAGAATGATTAAAGGGATGGAGGAGGAGAATAAATCACTGGAAATGATCACGGATTAGGCTCGAATATGTGGAGCCGAATCCTGACTTCGTGAAAATGTAAAATCGTTAAGCTTTCAATGTGCTTCGGAATGTCGGCCGGCATCGAGCAGACCTCTCATACCCCGCAGATCATTTCCCTAAGTAAGCTCGTGTCCAACGAACGAGTTTTACCATCACCAGAAAGACCCGGCCGAGTGTGGCGGTAACTCGGAATTAGCTCGAACAATATTGGTGGAGCATCTGGAAGTAAGGAAAAAGAGATTGGTGGTAAAACTGATTTCGAATAAACCAAACGCGCTCGTTTTCTCTGCAAATAATAAATTCTCCGTCTGAGCAGAGTTCGAAACCATACAGATGACGAAGTGCGCCCAAAAAAACCGCCCAAAACCACATTCTCGCCTACCGCCAATCTGGCTTTCTGTAACGCAGTCGTAGTCTGCTTCATCCAGTTTTCACAAAGTCGTAAGCCTGGAAGTGGTGAGCGTTGGGAATTTGCGTAGCCAATTAGATCGTCGTGAAATTGGTCAGTGACGGGATGAACGGCGCGGCTAAGGTGGGGGGGGTTGGATGGATTTGGTTTCGGTTTTGTATTAATCGTGGAGTTGCATGCATGCATGTCCGCATAGCCATACAGGCCGCCTTTTTTGTTTTTCGCGGCCGGGGAGTGCTTTCTGCTTCCCCCGCGAGGTGTTGGCCGTTGGCCGTTGAGATTTGCAATTTTTTGAAAAAACCGGCTGCAGGCTTGATAATTACGCTCGTTGCTTATGGGATGGGTACAAATTATCTGGAGAGCCTTGCATATGGGTTCCTGAAAGAGAGAGAGAATTAAGATGGAAGGTAATGACAGATTTTCATGATGGCTCTTCAAACGACGAGGGAAGGAGATGGAATTTAAATCTATTGTGAAAAGCTGCAGGATGTGTCATGCAAAAAATATTTTTATTACAATGATGCTGAGATATTTTACCAATCAGATTTTTTGATCATCCAAGCATGCTCAGATCTTTATCTGACTAGCCCGCCCACTTTGGCCAATCTCAGAGTATTCTCACATTAATGCTCACCATTGGAGTAGCTCGGTGTATGAGAAAGGTCATGATCATCGACCTTTTCTGCGTCATGTGCACCACCAAATCGGTGTTCGTGAAGACTTCAAGTAGCCTATTGTGGAAACATGTGAGCCATCTAGAAATGCCAGCCACAAGAAATCAAATGTAGTTTGTGCAACTTTTCATCTCGACTGTCCGGAAAACTTCACGTACCTGGATATGGTTCTATCAGCCCTGGGAACACAAATCTTGGCCCTGGGAGTCGTCCTGTGCCCGAAAGCTTTTTTTCGGTTTCTGGGAGCACATGCGCCGCTTCTAGGAGCCACGTAGCCCCCAGGAAGCCCAACGGAGCTTGTGAGGGTCTCATGTATTCGTAGATGAATGATCAATATTAAAGAAAGCTATAGTAGACTCTAGATACAAGACGTAGCGCGAGGAAGCAACAGAAAGGTAGCTTCCTCGCGTTCAGGGGAACCCATATATACCATGTGGGTCCCGCGCAGATCATTTCTCCATCCGTCCTTTATGCTTCATGTATATCTCTTATCTCTGACAGAGCTTCTGGGGTTCTGTGCCTCCACCCCGGGGAATCAACGTCATGTTCCTGTTGACAGTCTTATCAATTTCTGGATCCCCAAGTGCGGTTCCTGGGGCTATGGCTTGCCTTTCTGGGAGTAATTGAATGACTTAGATTTGTGCGTAGGTCTAGTGAAGGTTATTTGTGAGTTAACAACATACCCTGGGAGGCAGAAGATTGACTCCAGGATTCAGAGATACGGCCCTAAGAGTGCAACGGCTCCCGGGTCCAGCAAATGCGTTCCCAAACCAATTTCTTATTCATTCAGGAGCGCAGAGTGAAGATCCCAGGGGTAAACATCAGTGTCCTAGAAACATGACTTAGCCCGAGGAGCTAAAGAGGAGTTCCCAGGGAATAAAGAGTTTCTGGAATTGCTTTTGGTGTTTCCGGGGCTAATCTGCTGATTCCCAGAGCCAGGCTAACAGTATTTGTCGTTAAATTGTATACACGAGCTGGTTTTATTACGTCGTGAGGCAGCACGGATAGAATTGTCGAGGCTTTCCGCGAGCTGTGCTTTCTGCCAATAAGGTTCGTCTTTACGCTCCATCCAGCTGAGCTTGCTGCCGAGGCATATCGTATCAATGACCGAAGAAAGTATGCTTTACCTTCCACAAAATTGGTTATAAAGGCTCCTCATCTCCGCATAGATTCGCACTCATTGCTCCCCCACCCCAGAACCTCTCCCTCACCCCTTCCCTCTCCCCAGCAAGATGGCTACTGCAAGCATTGAAAGGAGCTGGGATATTCAGATTCCGTCCACATCGGGAGGATCCATGTGTGGTTGGCTTTACACCTCCGAGTATTTCGTCGCGTCAAAGCCGGGACCCGCAATTGTTGTGGCTCATGGACTTGGAGGTACTATAACAGTCCGAGGAACCCCTGCACTAAAAGACCCAAAAAATCATCCCTCTCACTCAGATTCCACTCACAGGCCCCACCCCAGTGTAGCTGCCAGATGTAGTCGATACCCTCATATCAAATGGTCTTTGGGGCTTTGCGTGAGATACTATGGTATCCTTTCATATATTTGTCAAGGTCTTTAGCACTGCTTATACTAGCCTTTATAGTTTGGCATAGTATACCTATGAATTCTTGTGCTAAGCTAACTGTTCTTAATTCTGTCAAGCATTCTCGGTATGTCTCCTGTCCCTTAGACCTCAAAAGTACCTGCTGATTAGGTAAACCACAGGATGTAGATCCTAACTAAAGAACTCTGCTTGTTATGTCAACAAAAGAGGGTCGCCATTTTACTAGTGCGCCCGAGGAATATTCAGCACCCCCTCTGCCTGATGATCGTAAGGCTCTCAACGACCTTACTAAGCTCATCCCCTATTTATTCTGCACTTTCTATAGTATATAAAAAACACTCTCTCAAGTACTCAATTGGCTATGCCCGTACTAGTCCGTACTGTAACAAGCACGTTCTGACAGTTATGAGCCCGATTAGCCCGTGGTAAACAACAATATCGATCGATATCTACTATCCTGCAGCTATACATAGCCGAACGTCCCCGTCAACATACAGTCCCTTCAAACCGGACGCGAGATGTCACTTCCATAACAAGACCTCGAGGCCCTAGACACTGGATCCAGCTCCAGCGCCCCCGGAGGAATTATTCTAGGCTCTTCCGACCAATGGAGGACCTGGTATAGCACCATCAAGGTCACCACTAAGAGCCTTGGTGTGTGGAAGTATCTGGATCCAGATGCTTCTAATCCAGAGAAGATCCCCCAGGAGCCCCGAGAAATACACCCTGGCGACGCCCAGGAGGGAGCTCAGGAAATAAAAGACCTGACAGATGATAATTACAAGGTTTTTCAGCGCCTGTTTGCCCATCAAGATCGTCAAACCCTTCAGTTCAGGTGGAAACAACGAAATTTGGACCGAATTGGCCAGCAAATCCGGCGGACTGTTGCTGCCAGCCACCAACACCTCGTCGCCGATATCGAGAATCCCCGAACACTCCTTCAATCCCTTTAGGACCGTTTCTCCCCTTCCGAAATAGAACGCATGCTGGAATTGCGGGTGAGGTGGCTCAACAAGGTAAGGTCGTCTCCAAAGGACTCGCAGGTGGATGCATGGCTCACGGAATGGGAAAATCTATACACAGAAGCCGTCGGCGCTCAAGTCCCTGATACCACCAATCCCCGTGTGGCAGTATATGACTTCCTCTGCGCCGCCCGTCCGCTAGATGGGAATTTCTATTTCTATACCTACCAGGAAGTCTTCAAGGAGACAAAGGAGGATAAGGATGTCTCATTCACCAGCGTGATCAACGCTTTCCGCCAGCTCCGCGCGACGTCGCAGAAGAAAAGGAGTGGAAAAGGATCCGCAGTGGGGTTCGCCACCTTGGATGGCCAGAAAGAAGCTGGATCAACACCAGCGCAGTCAGCCCGGCAGAAATCTTCCAAACAGCTCCCGGACTGTGTCTGTGGGCAGAAGCACTTCTTCCAGTCATGAACATACCTAGTTGTATCCGCACGGCCATCTGGATGGAGACCAGATCCTGCTATCGAAATCCCAGAAACCATCGGAAAGCTTAGTCCGTTCACCAAAGCAAAGGCGGAAAAGCTCTACAAAGAGGTGTATTCGAAAAACAGCGTGAACTTTGCCAACGTGGATTCAGGCGACGACACTGGACTCGATTTTTCACGTATGGTGTTACTCAGCAGTCTGACCGTGCGAGTGAGGATACGCTCAATCAGAACATTCCTCGGCCAGTCCCCTACGCTTTCTTCACGCACAACGCCGAGAATCCACTCAAAAGCGCCTGGCTAATCGACTCCGCAGCCAACCGTCATGTGACCAATGACCGCGAAGCTTTTATCTCATTCAAAGAGATCAGCGCAAACATCCAGGTTGGAGACACCAAGACAGGCGTTACGGACTAGGAACAGTGAAAATCTGGGGCAGAAAACCAGAAACGGACCGTAAAGTCCCACTGACGGTCGAAAACGTTCGTTATTCACCAGGATCTAACACCAGCTTGTTATCCGTGGGCTTGATGAAGAAGAAAGGCGTAATTTGGGATACACAAAAGGAGGCTATCGTGACCGTATCTGGAAGACTGGTAGCCAGAGTAAAGGAATGGGACGGGCTATTCATGCTAGATCAGGCTCAATTCTCATCGCCAGCAGCATTTAGCACCCACCCACGGCGTTCGGCCTTACCTCTCACATCCAAAGCCACCCCAAAACGCTGGCATCAGCGTCTGGTCCATATGTACGAGCAAAGGGTCGAAAAACTCGCTGAAATGGCGGACGGTATTGAGCTCACAGCGGAGACGCGCACGGAAGAGGACCCCAAGCATTGCGAGACGTGCCAACTGAAAAAAGCTACTCGTCAAGTCTCCCGACGAGCCCAAGCACCGGTATATGGGGCTCTTGGACGAGTTCGTTTCGATCTCATGCAAATCAAGGAAGGGTTCAATGGTGATCGATGGATCACTCACTTCTATCTCGATGGTATCCGGTATCATCATGTGGAAACGCACCCAAAGAAGAACGGCTGCCAGGATGCAGTACGGAGATTCGTTGCCACCCTTCGTAACTGGTTCAACTTTCCAATCCGGGCTTTCCACTATGATAACGAACGTTCAGCGGGTAATACCGTACAGCAGTACCTCGAAGACTGCGGATTTGTCATCATACACAGTCTGGTAGGCACGCCCGAGATGAATAGCTACGCGGAGCGATCTGGGGGGGTGATTATCTTAGCTTCACGATCACTGCTTCAGGACTCCCACCTTCCACGGTCTCTCTGGCCCGAAGCTGTACACGCAGCGGTATATATACTAAACAGATCGCCCACAAAGCTACCAAACCGACGCTGGATCATTCCGCAGCAGGAGTTCCACCGCCTAGGGACAGGCATCCAGATCCCTATCAACCTCTCTAATCTTCGTATCTACGGTTGTCGTACGTACGTACGCATCCAGGGCATTCCTCAGTCCGATAAAATGCGTCCACGAGCTGAAATTGGCTATCTCACTGGCTATAAAACCACGAATGCCTGGCGTGTGTGGTTCCCAGGCTTCACATGGTAAAGCTTGTACGGGACGCTAAATTCGATGAGAATGTTAGCTTCAAACATCACGAACGCACCCGACAACCAGCTCCCGAGCTCGTTCCAGAAGCCACAGAAGTCGTACAAGAAGATGAGCTAGACATCGAGCTCGAACAGGCTCTTCAATGACTCTCGGCCCAGTCACAAGACATTGCGACATCGCATGCTGTCTATACTTTCCACATCACTACTGGTGGCGCCCGTGTATCTGGCGCACGCCCCAAGGCGAAGAGTGCGCGTGCTGTGAAGTGTCGAGATTCTCATTGAGTCAAATCAATGAACACGAGGAGCAAGTGGCGGAGGATGTTACACTACTTTTCTAGGATATTGAAGTTGGTGAGCGTTAACCGGACATTAACGGACATACGGCAGCACTAGGAGATAGAAAGCGCCGAGAGACTTGATATGTGTTTCGTCCAGGGCGCGTTGGTCCCAATCACATCGGCAAGCCACCGGAAGATCCAGGCAACAGAGACGATTCGATCTACACGGTGCTCCTGGCCGACCTATTGGGGGGCAGTCGATGGCTCTTTCCAAACCTATAGGCAATCCTATTGGCCAACTCAGACGCGAATTTTGAAAATGAATAATTTATAAAAAGCCTTTTTATTCACTGGCTGGCATCATGGTCAAGTGGAACCACGCATTATTTTATTCTTATAACTGAAAGATAGCCCAGATAAATTTTACTCTTGCATTCGACGTAGGATAGCCAGCAAGTCTGGGCGCTTGACTGGCTTGACAAGAAAAGTGTCGATGCCAGAACCAAATGCCTCCTTCTGGGCATTAGCATTATCGAGTCCAGTCAAAGCGGCGATGACTGTGGGTGCCAAAGTTTGTTGTGCCAAACCGGTCATCTTGGCCCGGTGCTCCTTCTCTAGGCGACGTATTTGCCGGGAGGCTTCAAAGCCATCCATAACTGGCATTGAGATATCTAGTTTATCAGCACCAGCAGGAGGATTGGAGAGAAAGAAAAGGTCGAAGGTTGAACGTACCAATGATAACAACCCTGAATTTGCCAGGATGGGATTTATATATGTCGACTGCCTCGGCCCCATTCTGAGCTGTCATGTAATTATAGCTATCCTTCTTTGCGTAGGCACAAAGTAATTGGAGGTTCAAGTCATTATCATCCACCAGTAAGACGAGTGGTGCGGAGGCCTCTGGTTCCGCCTCTACCTCCTTCGAACATGATGTCGGCTGGGCGGCACTCTGTGAGTTGGCTTTCAGGTTCTCCTTGTAAGACAGCGATCGATAACTCCAAAGTTCTGGACTGCGCATTGTCTCCGTTGTCGGCCGCTTACCGATCTTCATCCTGTCTTTGGGTGCATCACTAGCCGCAATGTCCACTGGTAGGTGGGAGGATTCAGGCATTTCTACCCAACGAGTCGGTTCATCGGCATCGGGACGACCAGATTGTTGATCGACCTGTCGTTTTATGCAAATATTCAATGCCCGAGCCAGTTTCCGGGGTCCGCACGGCTGGCTAATAAACTCGAAGAGCGGTGTTTCGCCCCGGTTCTTGGCCGCGACGAACATTCTGTGTGCTTCCTCGGGGGACTGGCAGATTACCACAACCGGTGAGCTGTAACCATCCCCGTTGATGAGTTCTGGACTGAGGCTGAATAGGTTTCTTCCCTCAACATGCTCAGAGTCCAACTCTGTCTGCACAGCTAAGTAAAAGTCAAAGACGCGCTCGCCCTCTAAGGAAGACACGTTGGTCACCTCCAGTTCAAACCAGTCTCGGCACAACCGTTCCAAGGACGAGTACAAGGCCGTGTCTCGTTGAGAGCGGAGGGATGACCCGAACCCTAGGAGACCGATAGTCTTTCCCTGGGTAAATTTCCGCGGGGGACTAAACATAGATCCCGACGACGAAGTATCTGATGGATCAGATGACGGGTAGAGCGGTGTCCGGATCGAGATCTGTGTGCCAACTTCCTGGGTTGATTCAATTTCGATCGAGCCGCCGAGGAAACCAACAGCTTGGCGAACGATACTCAATCCTAGTCCACTCCCAGACGCAAGTGAATCCTCTTGCTTAAACGGAGTGAAAAGGTCGCCTTGCAAATATTTGGCCCCGATACCTTTCCCAGTGTCCTTCACTGTAAGAGTGACCTCAAATTCCTGTCCTTGCTCCGTCGGCAATTCACTGTCAGGTCTTGTGTCATCTTGAGATGACTTTAACCCGAGGTAAATATAACCTGAGGGTGTGTACTTGAGCGCATTACCGAAAACATTCATCAGAATGCGACGCCAAGCACCAGCATGTGTGTTTGAAGTCCCATTCTGTATCTGGCTGGATGTCGAAAATGATTGTGACCTGACTGGCCCGAGGGCCAACTTGATCGGACGGGCTCGCTGGGCCAGCCCAACGTGACGAAGGATCGGTCAAGGCTGGAGGCGCCGCCTGCGGATGACTGTAAAAGCTGTATCCGGCGAAAACACACTCTGTGACCTCTTCAAGCACGGCGTCCAGCTTGACATGGGAAAATGAACTCTTTTCACCACGGTTTTTACTCTGCACGCGACCTCCCTCTGTCGAAGTGGCGGGTAAGCTTGATTGACTTTCTCCCGACATTCCACTTAGGCGAGACTGTTTCTTTTGGTACTGGTCGATGAAAGTCAGATCAAGCAGACTGTTGATGGTATCTAGGAGGGTGCGACCACAAGACTCGATCGTGTGTACCATGCCATGCTGTAGAGCATTCATGGCGGTGTCACTCAGAATGTCTGCCGTGCCCAGTATTCCATGCAGTGGGTTCCGGAGCTCGTGCGTGATGCTGCTGACAAGATTGGTTTTGGCCTTGTCAGCGAACTCCACGTCGAGTCGACGTATTTCGGCCATGATACTATTGGCAAAAGCAGAGATGTACACGAGCTCATTCTCAGTGGTGAAGATGTGCTCCGGGTCGTTCGTCCACACCAGTATTCCGGCATACGGTCGATTTTTGTCAGAGTCCCAGATGGGTAGAAGCAAGATATTTCTGGCATCAGCGAAGATTTTGATCAGATTACCAGCGTCTTGTTGGAATGTTGGCTTGCGGCGCCGTTTGCTAAGGGGGCGTTGGTCTTTGGTGCGAGGCGCCCCAGAAGACGGAGCGTGATCGGGCTCAGACGGATTCCGCGAAAGATCGCTATCTTCGGAAGCCATTCCATTGGCGTTGTAAGTGAAGATCTTACCTTGGGGGTATCGCCGGATCATCGAGCTGAACAGAGGCTCTGGAACCGCAACTGCCTGGCCGGCTCTCGCATGGTCGTTGATGCTCGAAACCCTCGAGCTCGAAAAGCCCATGCACTCAGAGAAAAGAGTGCTGTCAGCCCCGCTCTTCTTGTCACTCTTGGTAAATTTGCGTTTGGAAGATGCAGAATCGGTACTTTCGTCGCTACTCGATGTTGAAGCTTTTGGGCTGGGACCAGAAACCCTCCGGCTACTCTGTTTGACGAAACTCCCAAAACGTTCGCTATTCGCGTCGAGGAACATGACTCCCTCGGCTCCAATCGACTCCCTGATCAAGTTTGCCGCGCGCGAGAAAACATGTTTGATGCCAGTCGGAAGAGAGTCATCCTGTAGGCTTTCACCCGCGAGGACGGTTCGAACAGACCCATCCGCTTTGTTGACTTCTGCGCGCGGCTCCTGACCGCGTCCGATATCTTTGCTGTCGCTATTCGATACGGGTTCGGAATCCTTGATAGGAACCTTAGGCGGCTGGCGGATTGCAAGATTCTCCTCGATCTTTTCCTTGGAGACCTGTTGCAGAGCTTGTTGCTTAATATTCAACTGACCCTCGGTGAGCTCCCCAGACTGCTCCGAGGCGGCATGCTGCACGCTGGCTTCCCGCCATGAGTCGCGAAGGGTCGACCTGCCCTCAACGAAACTCCCCAGTCCGGCGATCATCCGTTCTGCCTGGCGACCTTTCTGAGTGGAGTGGTCCATGGCCAAGTGCTCCATAATCGTTGCAGCCATATCCTTCATAAACTGCAGATCATGTTGATCCGGGCCCGACATCCTTGGTTCAGGGTCCATCACACTGTAGGCACCAATAGTGAACCCTTTGGGGCTCACGATAGGCACTGCAGCATAGAAGCGCACATCAGACAGCGCGCGCAGCACTTGACGGGACCTGAAGCTTTCGTTCTGTGTCACATCCAAGACAACCAACGAACCATATCCGACGACCTTGTCAGCTTCTAAATATTCCTTAGACATTAAACCCTCGACTTGCTGACAAAGTGCCCTCTCTTTGGGGAACACACAGCATCCTAGCCGCAGCCGGTCGTGTTCGTTGCGAACACTTCCACCGATCAGTCCCAAGGTCCGGGTTGCCTCCGCGATAACGTGTTGGTGGGTTTTATCGAATAGAGAAACAAGAGCTCGTCGGGTGCCTAGACGTATGGCGCCTAGCTGAGCGAAGGAGGTCAAGGCCGAATCCTGCGACGGTTGCGGGATGAATGTATTCTCGCTTGCATGGTCGAAGGGGGCATATTGCGATGCGGAAAGTTCGCGCGGAACATATCTGCCCCAACGCCACCATGTCAGTTGTTCATCTGTATTACCTGTGGGGCACGAGAAGGCACGACCCACGATGCAAAAAGCCTTACTTGTAGAATTCCCGTTCTTGGGCTAATCTGTAGTGTGACTGGACCGCAGCACCTCCTAGCGCAGCCATAGTGAGAATCCAGCGGGTGGTAATTTGCAGAAGTACATCTTTACCGAGGGGGTTAGAAATGATATCAAATCCAGTTACTCGGCCGGTTGGCCGGTTTCTAGAAACTGGGATGAATTCCAAGGCAGCGTCCAATGGGAATCTCTACAGCCCCACTGTTGCTCTTGCGGCAAATTGACTTTTTCCATGATGTCACCCACCTCCCACCAATCCCAAACCTAGAAGCACGAATTAGCGAAGTCCACAGATATCCAGTAAGTTTTGAATCCTTTTCAGTATAGAAAGTGCAGAATAGATAACTAGGTGTCAGTCAGTTTTAGATAATTGATTACATAAGCGAGATGGATTAATTCGAAGCCCCGCCGCGCAGAAGGTAAACCGAGGCCCACGCAACTTCGAAGAAGCCGTTCGCAGCGTCTTCTTCAAAATGACCACAGGCAACGACGAGCTGCGGCTCCTTCTGGCACAAGACACAAGTCGTGATGCGGAGGAGCAGTGTCTTCGAAGAGTGAAAAGGGAGAGGAGTTTCAAAACCAGCCTTCCCAGTCTCTCCTACAATCGCGATGCGATTTCACCGCGTTGTCGTGCTCCTGCGTACATCAAATATGCACAATCTGTTTCAAGCAAGTATTCAAACTCGACCGAACAAAAACGATCTCGACATTATTCTAGGTATGTATTGTGGCCCCCGTTTTTGTCAATGGACCTAGCCACAAGGGGATGATGCTCTGAGTAAACTTGTTCTTGAATGCTCGGACCAGGCCCAAAGACAGAATGAGCGGTGTTGCCTTATGTTTTATGTCAGCGAAACCGTTCATGGTAACTGACGCGCAAGACTTTTTTTCTTTTTTTTTGTTTGATCCAAATGGCCCAAAGGAGTTCCTGCCGTCTACCCTGTTCTGTTGACTTGGCATGTGCTAAATACTTTATAAGCTACGATCATAAAGTGTGCAACAAACAGACCAAGCCTGCGCACCATACCGCTTGTTTTGCCAAACAAGGCCACACGGACAACGACTCTACTGCAATGATGGAACAATCCCCACAAACTGGTAGGTGCAGTCTTTGATGAAGAAGACCCAATATTTACAATCTATCTCCAGGTTGCCATCTAGATTTGGAGATTTGGACCCTGAAGCATTACGGACGGAGCTCCCATATGTGCCTACGCCACTGCCTGTCCTTGCAGCAGCTGGCCATGATGGTTTTTGTCAAGATCATTCATCTCGCTTCCCGTTGTCCACAGAAGAAACAACCCATTTTCTTCCGAGAATCGAGTGCTGTTTCTATCCCAGCTGTGACGACGATACTTTCTTAAATGGACAGGTAGGGACCTATTGTCACCATCTACCTGTACCGACGATGTCTTCCTCTACCTGTCTGCTTTGTATCCCCCGGAAAAATTGGATTGGGCAGACATCCGGCTTTGCATCTTGAGCAATGCGACCGAAGAGATGGTGGCCATCTACCCATTTTTCCTACCGCGAACTGAATCAATACTGGGAAACCTGAGCCGAGTCCGCAAGCTAGTACATGATAGTATCGTGAGCCATGATGTCGAGAATTTTCATTTTCGTTTGATTGTCCGGCCACGAAGCCAAGAAGCACCAGGGTCTGTGGGCACAAAAAGACGTTCAGCTCGTACATCCGCCCTATGGTACCTATCTCGCCGCTTGATCCTCATTTCTTTGTGCAGAATATTGTGGGGAATTATGGAATATAGTACTCCAGCTTAAAAAAATAAAACAGTAAAGCATTTATACGATCGCAAGTAATCACCCCTTTCTATTCATGTTTCGTTGGGCTCTTTAGCCGTAAGAGGCGATAAAATGTTAGTCGGACCGTTTTCTACGGGTTTCTCATTCATTCATAGCTAGCTGGGCTGTTGAGCTACAATTTTCTCTTTTGATGAACGAAGAGGGGCATTCAATACAGTAGTATTCGAGATCAGTCACAGTATACCTCTGGACTCTTGCGACTTAGTTCCTATAGATGCATCCAATTCACGGCCTCTGGATACACGAGGCCTTTTGCGGCTACCTGGGACTTTCAGCTCGTATTGGTTGAATATCATACATACGACATCGATATTGAAAAAGATTGATGTCGTATCGGTTGCCGACTAAGATATTGGAAAAATGTCGATGTTGTACGACCTGCCGCAGCCTAGTATACCTATATGATGCACTGCAAAAAGTCGCTCCGCGTGGAGAAAACGTCATAATAACCATCCGAAGTGCTTCCTCGGTACCATCCAATGATGGAGAAGCTTTCTTTGCATCCTGCTGTGCAAGTGAGATTATTCTGGCCCCGAAAACTCGAGTAATGAGGGGTGGGAGATGGGGCGGTAATGTTGTGATTGGGTCCCGAATCTTCCCAACGTATTCACCAAGCATATTCACAAAGCACCCATTGACCATAACCGAGAGCGATCCAGACTCTTGCCTCACCGCTGAAGCATAAGAGCGCACCTTTTCGTGTTCAAGGCCCAGATAAGCTATGTGCGTCAGCTCATAGCGCATCTTATCCGTTCACTGTTAGGGGTCAGCACGGATAAGGATTTTCCATATTCGTATTCGTAGATTTTCTTTAAAAGCTTTATTCGTATTCGTAACTAGTCGGGAGAGGTCATAAGTATTTGGGTCGTAGAACATGTCTATCCTATTTTGGATGTTGCCAATCGATGATGGGGAGTGGTTGAATTTTTACTCCCGCTGCAAGATAGATATTTCCGACGAAAACTAGCGGCTCAGGGCGTTCCCAACCGCGACCAAAAATTCCCGAATATTAATAAGCAGTGAACAGTTATTAATCATATTCGTGCCGACCCCTTTTCACTGTGATGTTTGTAACTATAGTATATCGTAGAACGAAACAACTGTATTCGTAAATATTCTCGGTCGCCAGAGTCGTGGTCAAGATGCGCTGGGTGCTTGGATTAAACTTTGTGGGTCGGCCCACAACCCCGGCTCCTGGCATATCCGGGACCCAATCGGTTTCTCGGCTTTGGTGCAACCGGCTACTCCAGTCATGTAAGCCCGTGTGGGCTATCCAAAAGTGGCATTAATGAGTAAAAGCTATCTGCTAGAGTTGCCAGACTGGCGATGGAATCGGAGCAGATAGCCAGAAGAAGTGTCGGGTTCGAAGAGAGTATACTGATCAAGGGGAAGTTTGTTACAGAAGATGCATCGCTTCTAGAACGCTCTAGACTCGAGAGACAAACAAGCAACTTGCTACTCGACAGAGGACCAATCACTCTCTTCTCTCTTGCGAGGGCAACTGAACCGCGGATCGGATCTCGCTACAAAAAGCCTGTGATATTCCAAATACCTCATGTGCCCCAACCGGCTTCCCAAGCAACAAAGAGGGGTAATCGACACGTGAGGCGATTCCTATTGGCTTATCCACGTGGGACAACAACGAGGTTAGAATTATGGAGTTTTGCGATACACTTCGAGAATTGAATTCCCAAGAGAATAGAATAAAGGACAATTCTCAGCAAGGACTGCGAGCTCCTACTTTGGGCTTTGTCTATATATCTGGTCTGTAGAACGTTCTAGAATATATTTTCTCCTGCATCAACCTTGCCCTTAATGAGTGTTCTCTCTTCGAACCCCCCATTGACCTTTTTCCCTGCCTACAATCTAGGGCGCCGAAGAGGAATAAGATGCCTTAACTCAAATCGCCGGTCTATGAACACCAGCAGGCAGCTTAAAGGATTCATGCTATCTTCAGACGGATCACAGGGATTACGTGGATAAACATTCAGGGTTGAGCTATCGTAAGGCCAATCTGTATGTACTAGCTATTGGCGGGGAAGACGAATTCAACCTTACGGACGGTCGAGGATATGACCTGAAGTTGAACTAGACCTAATGTTGAATGGTATCGCCTAGCACGGCGGATGCAAATTGGGATTCAGAGCTGGACGCCAGTACACCGATATATTTGATAAACCCATCTAGGCTGCCACTATTGACCATAGGCGGAGCATCAGGTTTTACTCAATTCAAGGATGACGCATCGATGGAGTCCTAATAAAGACTGGCTCTGATAGAATTGTTTGCGGGGATCTGGAAGGTCTGAAAAACTGATTGGCCTCAGATTTGTCAGACAAGGTAGGGTTTAGATATTCGTGATTACCCAGCGAAGGGGTTCGCTCTGTGTGTATCAATTTCGGAGCCAACAAACCGAACCTTATGATGGGGGAAGGAACAATGATGCTGTTCATGCATGCAAATGCAGGGCGCAATCTTGCTACGTGTTCCCTAGTATGTGGCTTTGATGTACATACGCGAGTCATGGCATGCAGATGTCGAATAGTCAAGCTAGCACGTGTCGTTCAGGCCGTGGTCACATCAGCGGGGTTGTTGCAAGTTCTGAAAATTTCATTTCGAGGCCCCCGAATAAATTCTCTCAATTGAGAAGACAGGTTAGCAGCTGAGGAGAGGAATCGATGCTACTGCGGGGCGGCCCACTTTTTCGGCGGCAAATTCGCCTCCTGTTTCAGACGGGGATTTTCTTGGAAAAACAGGTAGGGAAGAGCTCCAAGTTGAAGGGCTAGCAATTTCAGGGCGTCTTAAGGCACCCCTGGGAGGATTGGTAAAAGCAATATTTGACTACCAAAAATAAGATGCCTAGAGTCCGTGCCGATAATCGCCCTCTCAAGGCCGACGAAGGGGTGAGTTTCTGCCAGACTTGCGTTATGGCGTTATGGTGTGGATGCAGCATATGCCTAGTCAGCTTCCTAGAAACCAATTAGTTTTCTAGGTCTCTATGTTGATTGAATAGGCAAAGCCTACGGCACCTCTGGAATCCAGTGCTAGCACGTTTAGGGCGGCTACTCGAAAATGTTTGATAATGTTCTACGCGTACCCCCTGCCCTTCATTGACTGAGCACGGACATGATGCGGAGCATATGCGGGGGGCTCGTGGCATGAGCTGATTGGCCCTCTGGATATAGCAACGCGCCTGTTGAGTGGCAGGTTATAGAGCCTCAGTCGAACGGCCATACATAAAGGGTGGGTTTGAGAATCAATGGCATGAGCCGTAGAGCTTGTACTGCCGAAAGGAATTACAATACCAACATTAGCGACATAGCCTCAAGATTTCTCGCCTTCACATCAAAGGTAAGTATTAGTCCTACGCTGCTCGTGTACAACATCTCAAGTTTCCTTCTCAGAAACCATGTCCCAGCCTCGCCCTCTTCCTCCAGCTCGACTATTACGGGGCCCCGTGGATGACGAATCGCAAATCGTGGTAGACCAATATATCTTTAATGATTTCGAACATCCACAACGCTCAAGGTATGCGCCAAATTGGATGACTGGACCTTTTTATATCTTTTCTCCAACCCGATATTTTCTTAACAATCTCAAACCACCGCCTCGCGTTGATACGTTGTTGCTCCCATATGCCAACAAAACCAAAACCCGATCGAACAGTGCACAAGGTGGCCAGTCCCGTGTTCAATCACACCATACATCTGTAAATCATAAAGAGAACAGTATAGTTGAACAACGCGGTGAATGGGACCAGGGAGAAGGCAAAAAAAACAAGGAAAGCCTCAATACAACAACTACTTCTACTTTTGATATCCGGACGAATGAACACAAGCGCCGAATAGAAGATCTGAAAGAAAAACTGAAATACATTTTTCCAGAAAATGGATCTGCTGTGGTTTTAATGTGCTGGGGTAAGCCGTCCTGTTGCACAATCTTGCCTGTGCGTGT